TAATTGTTTTAAGGATGGTTTTTATCATTGAGGTTTAAAGAGGAATTAACTTTTCTCTCTCTTTTTATTTTTAACGGATTAATGGAAGAAGTTGCCAACACAATACTGACATATTTTCACCTTAAAATGTTGATATGGCAAACATATTAGGATATAGTTGCCTTTTTTCACATCTAGCAGACACTGGGAAACCTTAGCATTAATTTTAATTTGTTTAGTTTCTGGCCACCTGATGGATGTATGTCCAATATTCAGTCAATTTTATAGCTCTAGTCTAGTCTCTATAAACTATATAACTAAGGGAAATATCTTGTTCTTAAGCTGATCACCACTACACTACATTCATCAGCTAGTTGCTAACTTTGTCCTGTCTACAGTAAGCAGCGAATCAGAACATTAAAGTTGTGGGTCATAAAACCAAAACAATGATCTGAAAGATGCTAAGAAGCTCTCTAGAGGTCAGGAGACCTGCAGAGATGGGTAATAAATCTGTGAGTCCATCACCACCAGCATCTCTTTGAAACTACATGGAGTGATGTGACCAGTTGTTACATAATATAAAAATATTGAGTGGTGCAGCTTTAAAGATTTTGTTTGTTTGTGTTTGTGAAGGTTTACCAACTAATTGTATTGTAACTTTGTTTACAATATTTTCAGTTGTTTCACTTGTTACTGCACTATGATGGAAAGTAAAAACAGCAGCAGATGAGACACTGTGTTACACTGTTTCACTGAATGTATTTTATGTCTGTCACGAGTTTATTCAACATTTGTGTTTATATAAGAAATATTGACTGTGGGGCATCACAGGGACTCTGATGTGAATCACATAACCATGGCATCCAAGGTTCACATCTTAATTGGGACCGTTGCATCTCCCTGTCTCTCTCTCTACATTTCCTGTCTACTGTATGCTACAAAAATAGTTTGTTTTGGGCCTTTGGCCTAATTTGAGGCAAAATTTTACATTATAAACTTAACAAATTTTATATTTATAAAGTTTATATTACTATTCATTGCAGGGTTATTGAATAATATAGCACTGATAATCATGTTATTGTTTTCAGTTGACAGCTTAGTCCCATCATAGTAGGACCCAAAACCGAAAAGATCTTTGTAGAACTAATCAGTAAATCAAAATGTTTTAACTCTGTGTTGTGGCTGGGTGGATTTAGATGTTTGATGCCATCACTTGGGTGATGAAAAAGTAGAGAGACATTCTATAATTCCCCTCTGTGCACAGGACCCATAAATCACTGTTACGCCCCTGCACCCAGGCACATAAACACAATCACACTTCCAGTTTCAGAGCGGCACTGGGAGGGAGAGAAGATATTCTGGGTTATCTCCTTGAACGGGTGCCTTCCCCTGGCTCCCACTCCACTCGCCTTCCCAGACAGATAAACATGTTGTTCCAAACACTGGTTCAACACATGGAGACGGGCAGAGATTAAGGCCGACTTAAGTTTATCATAAATGAAGAGCAAAGTCGACAGTTGTGTGGCCCACTGCCTCTCAATACTAAAACCACCAGCTGGGGTATTTAGGAGGTGATGGGAGCTGAACAACAGAAGCCACCAGGCATTCCAGTGCTGAGGTAGGCTCTAATCCTCTGCTCCTGGCTCGCTCCTGACAGGGGAGGAAACAAGTCGAAACAGCAGGGAGACACGTTCACAAATCAGAATTTATGGTGCGATCAACGCCGTCTTATAGTTGTTTCAGAGAGACCCTGAGGCTTTGTATTTTTTGTTGTAGCTCCCAATGCAGCAAATAATTTGCACATAGTGAATATTAAAAAAGCGGAAAATTGCATAAACAAAATCAATAACACCAATTTCTGAGTTGAATTTCTTGAAAATACATTTGTAGCAAAAAGCATCTGTGGTTTAATCATTTACTGTTGCTTTCATTACTTTCAGGGATGCATGATCAGCAGGTCATCTACCCCCCCTGCTGAGGTGAACAGCAGCAACAGCAGGAAACTCAACACTTTTTGGATGTGCGGGAAAATCAGACAAAAAACAATAAAACGAAAAAAGTCTCTTCCATCCAACCCTCTTATTCTGTCTGTTTCAAACAGACATATGACATAAAAACCTTAATAAAACGCACATAAATGTGCACAAAGATATACAACAACACACACACACACAGAGACACACACACAGACACACACTGCAGCACAAGGCCTGTAAAGCTCATGTGATGTTTTCAACGTCAGCCAGGCCCGGTCCCTGCCATCTTAGTGTCTCCACACCAGCTTACTGCAACAGCAGAATGACACAGTAACAGACACATATCAGCTTACTATAATAACACCTAGCCAACGTGCCGAATAATCCGCCATTTTGCTTCAAGACACTGTAAATAAGTATTGTCATGTTACGGTAGGAGGCACGGAATTCTTCATCTTCTGACCGTAACTGTTTGGCAGACACATAATTGAGCTTTATAGAGATCATGTGTGGGTGGCGTTGCGTGCCAGAGAGCAGAGGCAGAGCAAAGAAATGTGTGGATTCACAATGGCAACCACAGCATGCGTTTCACACACATACTATAAGTACCTTTTTTCTTCTCACTGTGTCTCACTACCTACTGTAACTCTCATCTCGCACAGAAATTAACAAGTCCTCCAGCAGCCTTAAGCCTGGAAACACCCGCTTGCTGATCTTTCTCCCCTTCTTTTCATCTCCTCCCACCCTCCCTCAAATCTCCCTCTGTCCTCTTTAGTCCCTCTTTCCCTCCCTACCTTCTCATCATCCTCTTCCTTCCAGCATCCTCCTTACCCTCCCCTATTCGTCTCTCTCTCTCCCTCACACTATCTCTCTAAGTCTCTCGCTCTCTTTGTAGGTATTTCCCTTGCTGATGTTGTCCATTGAGAGCCAGTGATTGTCTGTGGGTGAGAGCAGAGGAGAAGAGTCGAGCCGATTACTGCAATGCAGAGTAACCAAACAACATCACGGCGTTGCAGCAGACACAGCGTGTTTGCATGTCTGCTTGTATGTGCAGTTTGTGTACATATTCAAATGGACTTTGTTTGCTCACTGTGCATTTGTATTTGATTGAAAAAAGAGTGCGCCGATTTGCAGCACTGATGCAATGTTTATGTGTGTGTGTGTGTGTGTGGTTGTGAGCGATGACCAGCTCTTCCACAACTATTTGTCATGCCCAAACACCAAAGCTTCTGCAGCTATGCACCATGACTTTTAAATAGATCTCTTTTCACTGACATCAAACTATGCCCAACTGTGCATTTTTAATACCCCGCATGTTTATGCAGAGAAGAATATGGTTTCACGCCTTCACACACACGCACACACACACACACACACACACTGACAAGCTCACTCAGAAAGGATCCGCCTATCGCCGTTCAGGCTAAATTTATTATGCAAAATGACAGTGTTTTAATCAGGCTAATTGTCCAGCTCCTCGGCATGTCTCTGCCATCTCTACTTAACCGATGCCACAGCCGCACTGTTTTTTTTTTTTAAGGAATAAATGACACAGCGGTGGAGGAAGAGCGAGAGGCAATCTAAGCCACAGAGGCCCACAGGCGTTTGAAGTCTAAAGACTCTTTCATCCTCGACTCTGGGAAATGAATGATTTTTTTCACACAGTGACAGGACAGCTCTGACAGGACCCAAACACATGAACCATGGCAAAGCTGTCAGATAGTCAAACACACATACAGAGTTGCATACAGGGAAACACAAGCGCAAAACACACACACACACACACAGCTGGATCGAGTCCAGAAAGTGTTGTAACGATCAGCCACTCTGCATCCATGGACGAGAAAGTGAGAAGGGAGCGTTAAAAAGTGAGGAAGAGGGAGAGAATAGGACACAGAGAATGATGCTATAATTAGTCGTTTGTTGCCTTAACTGGCATTTAGTTTTAACTGGGCTTCTTTGTCTGTAGACACAATGGGGCTGATGTGGCATGAGTGAACTACACAGCTTAGAGGATTAAAGCTGGACTGAGGCTGTGGCGCCGCACTCTCTGTCACACACACACACACACACACACACACACACAAACAGACTTGCAGCACAAACATCCTGCTTCACACACTTTCTTAAACACATACACCTACAAAGGCACACCCCCCGTTTGTGTGTGTGTGTGTGTGTGTGCACGCATGCACGCACACACACACACACACACACAAACGCACCCACAGGGGGATTATCTGTGCAACAGAGTTCTGAACACTGAGAGTGAGGAGGCGTCTGAACAACTGCACTCATCAACGAAGGATGGAAAGAGCACAGCAGAAGGAAACAAAAAAACCCACACACACTCATACACACGCACACACGCACACACACACACACACACACACACACACCAGATGCAGAATCACACTTCAGTGCAAGCTACCTGTGTGTCGAGCAGCATATAGAGCAGCATCTTTCCGTGTCTGTCCTGTGAGGCTGAGCTGACAGCCAGAGCAATGAGAGAGAGGGAAGGGGAAATAGAAAAGAGAACGAAGAACAAAGGAGAACAGTGAGGAGCGGAAGGAAAAAAAGAGGAAAAAAACAAAAGACAGAAATCAGATGGAGAGATGAAAGTTGAAGAGAGAAGGACGATGGAGAAAATCATTAGGAAAGAAACAGCTGGAGAGAGATGGAGCAATTCACATACTTGGCCCCAGGGCCAAGGTTGTGAATTACATGTCCTTATTTTAGAAATAGATTGTATTGATTTTATACCATTAATGTGGTAGAATTCACACTATTGGCTTCTATATCCACGCTTTAGTGTGTGAGGAACCCTGAAGGCTCTCCACTTTGCTCAACTCTCATCTGATCTCTCCAACACACTGTGTGGACAAGCTTACAGGCTTAGCATACCACAAGCCCTTTCTTTCAGGCACTATTAAGGCAATGGATACGAAGAGAGTGAGAGTGCATTTATGCGGGTCAGGGCATGTGTCTATGTGTGTGTGCGCGTGCATGCATGCGTCAATTTGTCACACAGTAGCTTCCATCTCAAGGTTTTCTTTACGTAGCACCCTTTATTGTATTTTGTGGGTCGGCGGTAGGAAGGCTGAACCAGATGCAGAATCATCCTATACATTAATATAACATGATCCCTTACAGGAGAGCTTCAACACGCAAAAACTAAGAATAAATATATTCACAACTGCCTCTACTATTGGTAGGAGATGAAAGCATAAAAATGTACCTCTGTAAAAGATAATAATCGGTAGTTGATAGAAGTTCTGTCTTTTTTTTTTTTTTTTACAAAAAAAAAAAGCCTTCGTGTCCTGTTTTTTTGTCCTTTTTTTGCCATTCAATTTTCCTCTGAGAAATACTTAAAAATCAATACAATAACCTCTGTGCCTTTGTCCAATGAAAGAAAACGTGAAGCAGAGGTCCTCGTGGCCACATTAAGTCTGTCTGATTAAGAAATCCAGAATGCATCCATTGCCACAATGTCCTTCTGTATGTCGGCCTTCCTTTGTTTTGTCTTGCATTAAAAAAAATAATCTCTGTATCCTTTCCTCCATAAAACCAGAACCTTTTATTTTATCATTTCACACAGCGAACCAACTATTCCTGGATAAGTCCCTCATCTAGCCCTGTAAAAATCCAACTGGATAAGCAAATTAAGTTAACTGGATGAGATGAAAATGAACTGAACTGCATACAAACAACTCCAATATCGACTGGGTATATTATTATTTTTGGTTCATCCAGGGAATGCAATTATTCGGCGGCTTTGATTGGTTTCAGTCTCAGTCGTCCATCAGCGTCCCATCCGTTGGTACAAACCTCTTTGTTTAGATAAATATATCTGTATTCATAGAAAAATAAGCATTGACCACACTGCTGGCTGTTCATTGCTAAGGCACTTGGCTGTTTTCAGTCATTTCTCTCCCTCTCACTTTGTCTCGTCGTTTCTCCATCTTACAGGTCCGCCCAGCTAGCTCCACACCTTCTGGCTGTCACTGTTTATGACTCTTATGGTTGATGTTGCAAAGAGCTGGTGTGTTTCACCTCCACGCAGGTCTTTTGAGAGTGATAATATGAACATTAACGCCCACTGACACCACCCATACCACACTGTCTCCCGTTCATTGTGGCGCTGAGTAGAAAAAGGGGAGCTTTAGTACTTTTACGACTGTGAGGCGTAATGGAGGAAAAAATTCTGTAGTAGCTGCAGCTGAAGTTTCGCCTCCAGGCAGATTTCTGGGATCAGCTAATCCTTGCCAAATACCAACCTATACGCCAGTAGTGGGGAAAATACAAAAACTGACCTCAGCTCCTTATCCAGGAATAAACATGGTGTGTAGCGTAGTCCTGCTCCCCCACAGGCTCCTCTCAAAGCCACGCCAGCCTGTGTACAGGAGTCACTAGATGATTCATCACCAGAGAGGGAGATGATGAGGAGACAAGAGAAGAGGGGTAGCAGGAAGAGGGGGAGGGGGAAGAGTAGTGTTAAAACTGGTAAGAGCGGTCCAGCACCTCCATGTAATCTGGTGTGGTCCTCAGTCTGGCTCTCTGCTCTCCAGCTGCCTGCTCACTCTGGCTGCTGTTACTACCCCCTGCTGCGGAGCTGGCGGTGGTGACCACGAGCGTTTGATCGGGTCTGGCATCCTGTTTGGAGTCCTGGGGGTGAGGGTAGCGCGGCGGCGGCCTCGCATACCTGTCTGGCAGGTCTCTGAATTCGGGGGCAGGGAGTCTGAAGAGGCAGTCCACCAGTTCGACCTTAGGGGTGGGGCCCTGGCTGTCGATCACTGTGGGGCAGAGGATGCCGTTCCCGTGGAGGCCGGCGAGTGGCCCCATTGCTCCTGTAACGGTGTTGATGGGTGATGAGGACACCTCCAGAGTCCACTCCCTCTCCTTCTCTGCTGCAGAGCAGTACCCTGCCCCACTCTCTTTGGAAGCTGTGAATGTTTGCTGCTGCTGTGGTCGCTGTGTCACCGCTGCATCCTGTTCCTCTTTGTAGATGGGGTTGCTACATATGTGTGAGGCTGCATTAGTGTCCGGACCTTTCGACGCAGCCTCTGGGGGCAAGATGGTGTCGTAGACATGGTTGTGTTCGGGCGGAGGTAAAGGCGGCGTCTCTGGGAGGCCGTGGTGGTGGTGGTGGTGGTGGTGGTGTGTCTGCTCGGTAAAGATTCCACACTCCATCTGGATGCCAGCCAAGTCTACCTCTCCCTGGCGACGGAACGGCAGCTTGTCCCTCCTCCTTAGGGCGTAGGCGATTAGTGCCGCTGCCGCGAAGAATGCAGACACAAACAACACCAGCAGGCTGAGCACTAACACCGACAGAGGGATTGAATCCTTCCCCGGAGGGATCAGGGGCCCCAGCCCAGGGCCGGGGTAGCCAACCGACACACTGCTGTCTGCGGCTGTGGAGGTGGCTGTCTGCTCCTTCTGCTCCTGGTCCTCCTGGGGCTCCAGCTCAGGGCAGAGCAGCTCCATGGAGAGGGAGCGGAGGTCTACACCTTTGGTCTTTTCCGGGGAATGGCAGACCACCTCTCCCATCACCACCACCGCACTGAGCCCCTCCAGCCAACGCTTCAGTGGAGCTGCTTCACAGTTGCACTCCCACGGGTTCTGCTGCAGGTCCACCTGGAGAAACACACAACACCACAGCGTGTTGTCATCATGTAATAGTACACTAATTACTGGTCTGCCATGCAACTCATGAATCACTTTGGAATGTAAACAAAAAAAAGATAATTCTGCGGACATACTTGTGATATATATATATTAGTGACTTGGTATCTGTCTCTTGTGTTGAAGAATAGGCCAGTGGCTAACACTCTAATAAGATGACAACAAGAAAAATGATGTTTTCTCTCTTTTGCTACCTTTCACCAGCTAGAATCTATGGATAATTAATTTTTCATCATTTGCATAATATAATACAGCTCTCCACAATGGCCAGCATCTTTAAATGACTTTTTGACATATGCAAGTGATGTAAAGTACTGATTAATGTAAAGTATGTCATTATAGGGTCATCAAAACACTGAAGTGCTTACGTTTCCTGAATGGCTGCAGGTATGATATATTGTCAATAATAGAGAACAAGCAACGATCCAATTCAACTTGTAACACCCACAAGTGCTCACTTTAAAACCTGTTCACACGTGTACTACAGTAGGTTATAGGAATATTTTAGTTTACAATAAAGACCACTCAGAGGTTACATAAGTGGTTATTGACAAAATTCACCAGCAGGTTTTGTGTGACGAGCATCTGAGAGTATCACAGCACTTTGGTTTTAACAAAAGATGGGATGTGATAAAACTCTCCCTTATGCTATAATCCAATAGGTATGTGTGTAACCCCATTTTCTCATTGCCGGCTATTGATTGCGTGTCCTAAAACAAACTCAAATATTCACTTTGCACACACTGAAAAGGCTAAAGCAGATTATGCATAAAGGGAATCACTTACATCACGTAGTATTGTCTGCAGAACTGATCTGTTCCATATCTTTAGCAATGACACTGGCAATGGAAGCTGATATTCTCTCTGTCACACTTCCAAGGGCCTTGCACAAATGTTGTCATGCTAATTTGGTTAGGCTATCTCCCTGGCTTGCGGAAATAGATGGATGTTTTTTAAGATGATTCAGCATTGCTGTTGTGGGAGCCATGGTGCGACTACTTCCCCATGCCTCACACTGAACAACAGGATTCTCTTCCACTTTATTGGAGTTAGCCCACTGTGGGCTTTTGTGTGGCTTAGATAATGACATAATTGCGACTGGAGGGTGAGAATAAAACAACACTCGCTGCAGTTTTAACTCAGTTTGAACACTTCCACTATATTAAAGGTCCACTGAAAAGTGCAGTTGTCCGTGTTTCAGCATGATTGTGACATAACTGGGCTGTAATTCAGCATGAATGTGCATTTAAAAAACAAGGTGACATTTAAAATAAACACAGTATGACCAAAATGTCAGCTTCTTTATGCAGTTTCATGACTTTCATAACTAAAATCTTCCATCTGGTTGAAGTTCTTGAAGCATTTTATTCCAGTTATTGTTTGCTTTTGCACAGATCCCAAGGGCTCTATCCCCTCCTCTTTTGCAAGCATCTGTCTAACATGTCCAACATGGTTTACAATGTATACGCCTGGTCACCTAGTGTGTGATTTGCTGTCAGCTTGTCAATCAAAGCTATGTTGTGAAGGGAAATTTAAGACTCAGTTGGCCCGACAGGTGCTAGCTGCAGGGAAAATGCATGTGCATGAAACCATTATATATATATATATATACACATATATACACACACACATACACATACACACACATATATATATATTTTTTTCTGAACACAAAGGCTTTTAGTAAACTAAATTAAAAGTCACAAACAGTATGTTAATGACACTGTGTCATTGGCATATAGTACACTCAGTATACCAGGGGTACTCTCACCCTATGCCACCTGGGACTGGCTCCAGCGCCCCCCAACCCTGCACAGATAAGCAGGTATAGAAGAAGACTGACTGACTGACACTCAGTATACACTTGTTTAAATGTTACGGTTTTTAGCGCAATATTCACTGTTTTGATGCTGCATGTGATAATATTCACAAAGACATTAAAAAACACAAAAAAACTTCCTTTGTCAGAAAATACTGTATATTTAGCTCGATTTAAACAATGGCATCAGTTTTGGATGGAAACTACCCGCTTTGGCCGCAGAAGAGTAAATTTTCTCATGTCAGTTTTTATCATTATGATTGAGATCAAAGATCAAGCAGTAATTGTCCAAAATTTACTTGGGAGCTATAAAAAAAATTATATCAAGGGAGAAATTCATGCTCAGTGAGTTCAGTGTGTCTTATAATTGATCACTTTGCCCAAACAGCAATATCCTGTCAGTCATCCGAATTGTTAGTTCACAGAAATACAGTCAATATAAGCAGGTTTTTGGAAGTTCTTGTGCAGTAATTTTGCTGTAGTCTCTGGTGACGAGACGTCCCTCAGCTTCAGCTTGCCAAGGCTTCTCCATACCGATAAATGTGTTTCATTGTCTTTTGAATTATACACAGAGTGAAAATGAATAGAGAGCACTGGAAGAAGAACTTGCCAAGTACGCAAAATTTTGTTTTTCTGAGAAATGTGTATATTGGAAAACTGCCTTCATGGTTACAGTATATGTGAGATGTTATACATACAAAGCCAGAGAAATGCGCCAAAGCAATTCACCCATGGATCCTCTTACACTGTTAGATTTCATCAGTCTGTGATGTTGAGTGCATTCCAGGAGGTTTTTTTCCTTTTTGAAGTGTTGTAATTTACTTTCATAGTGTACTCACGCTCCCTTTGTCTGACTCGCTGACTTCTACCTCAGATAGTGATTTCCCATATTTCCCAGAGCGACTTCAACAACCCCTTGAGAAGGGGCATGAACTTGTTCTATCCAGCAGTTTGTGTTTCATGTAAGTGGAGAGAGAGGGTTAGTAATAGCAAAGACCAAACAGCAAGACTTTCTGGTCCATTGAGGCTATTGTCAGTGGAGAAATTGGCATCTCTGTGTGATTGCTGAACATCAGTGCAACATGGTGAGTCTAGAAAGAAGCCCTTGATCTTTTATTCTGAGGGAAAATAAACACTGACTTTTAATGCCACTGTATTAGATATTTGGATTTTCTGTGTTTGCAGTGTATGTAAGTGCTATGTAGTACGTAGGCATGACATACAGAGTGAAAAAAAACAAAATATTAACTACTACTACACATCACTGAGCCCAGAAAGTGACGTTTTTTGGATTGTCTTTTTATTGTCAGTTTGTCTTTTAAAATGTAAAAATAATCTAATCTTTCCCACCGCTATATTTGTACGGCTGACCAATAATCCAATATTATAGTTTATTATCTCTCCATATATGGACGTATAATAACATTATAATATTCAAATTTTGTGGATCACTATTTTCATGTTTAAACAAATGCAAACAACTTATATGGACTAAAAATGTTAAATACTTGAAATAAATATTTTGTAAATATTACAAGATACCCCAGTAAAAACAGAAAAGTACTATTAGAAACATGTGAATCTTGGTGTAAAAATGCATTTAACTTTCAACTGTGTGATTTTTAATACATATATTGAACAGATGTATACTGATACAATAAATGCAATATTAATCATGTCTATATCATTCAACCCTACAGATAATTGAGTAGAAGTGGTTATTAATTCTAAATTACTGAGAGAATCCTGTTAATTTTGTAAGAAAAACCAAATTACAGTGCAGTGGCATGTTGTGTTGTAAACTGGCTTTACTGGCATTTACTAAATAAGCATTAGTTAAACAGCCAGTCAATGAGACTATTCCCGTCCTGAAATAGGAGATACATTGGTGCGTTTGCCTGGACTGGTCAAACTCTGCAACTGCTAAAAGCCCGGTATTTCAGGGGCTTTTATCAAGCTAATGTGTTTATGTCAGAAGCACCTGTGGTGGTCATGTTGTTGCTGTGCTGTGCAGTTTTAAGTGAAATATTGGCTGATACCACAAAAAAATATATAACTTGTTTTCAGTGCATAAACATATGCACTGGTTTGTTATGTGTTCAGTAGATATTTACAACACAGGATGTAAACCAGCCAACTGAAAATAATGGCCCAACTAATAGAAGCAATAGTTGTACTGACGGGTAATCTTTTAATAGAATTATGATCTGGTATGGACATTAGTGGTTATAATGAACTCTATTACCTGAATATCAGTTGAGTTTTAGAATCAAAACAATGTTACTATGCCCAGACACAACTCAACATTTGACTCTTCTAATTACTGGCTAGCTGCTAGCCAATTTAGCATCACTAACCACAGCATTGCTAACTCTAAATATTACGTTTAAAAGAAGTTTGATTACAGAAAGTAAGTTTATTAGAGCTGGGAATTATGAATAGTTTTTATAAGCTAAGAGACTGTTGATCATCAAATGCTGACCGTCGATATTAGCAGGTTCAGCTGGTGAAACTATTTCATTCAGTTCAGTTCAAAACTAGCCCACTCAAGCACTGTTTATATTGTTTCTGTCACTTTCACGGTCTTTCAGTAAGCTTTTAACCGGGAAGCACTGTGTATCCACGGCTAAGCAGCTCCATTGCTAAAAGCTAATTATTTGGCCACTGACAATGAATGTTTAGTATAGTTTAGCTTGAATATTTGGGAGCAGTACAATGTTGTTGTTGTACTGATTAGACAAACATTATACAACACATCAATCAGTGAGTTGGGGGATTTTGTTACCTTTGGACCGAGCCAGGCTAGCTGTTTCCAGTCTTTATGCTATAGTAATAAGCTAACCATCTGCTGGTACCTTGGTACCCATCTCCTGAGCATCAGTGATATCTGTAAGGGGAGGTGCCTACGCAGAGCCCAAAGGATACTAAAGGACAGTACCCTCCCAGCCACAGCCTGTTCACCCTGCTGCCTACTGGGAAGAGATATAGAGGTTTCTGCTGCCGCACCACCAGTCTTCAGAAAAGTTTTTTCCCCCAAGCTATGAGAATTTTGAACTCAAATTCATCCTCAGCACTGCTCCATATAGTTTATTTCTGTTTTCCATTTTATGATCGCTTTTGTATTACTGAATGTTGTCTGCTACATAGCAGAAGGGAGTTACAAACTTAATTTCACTTTACAACCTGTTGTAATATGACAAATAAAGCTACCTTCTACCTTTTACCTTGAACAGACGAACGTGAGAGTGGTATCAATCTTCTAACTCAGCAAGAAATCAGTGTATTTGCCAAAATGTCAAACTATTCCCTAAGATTAGTTTGCACCAACCACCTTTAAAAAGTATTGTCACTGATTGTGTACATAAGGTCGATGAAGCATTAACTCAGACTCAAGTAAAACTGATAATCAGGTGAATTTTAGATGGATTTTAAATGCAATGCTTCCCTGTCCCTGGTGAAGACTGTGCTGTTTTCATCAATCTTTCTGGGGGTGCGCACTGTTTTTCCATCACGCAAGGTGAGATGTTGCTGTGGGCATGTTTCTTCATTGCAGCTGGCAGTGATGAGAGAGAGCTGCCCTACTACACAACATGTTCTTTGCATTTACTGAGAAACACATATGTGTTCCTGAACTGTACATATTGCTGGCATCCACTCAGATGGTGATTCACCTAACGTGATTTTATAATATTCTTTTCATCGGTTTTCAAAGAGGAGACGCTTGCTCCTGTGTTGCTCTGAATTAACAAGTTTAAAGAACTTATAGACACCACAGCAATTTTAATTTTCTCTGTAATGTCTCACTAATGGTTATTTTAAATAACAGAGACATCGGGGAGGTATTTTTCTAAAAGATCAGTGCATGTAAGTGGGTGTAACTGTATAATCCTGTTCTTGATGGTGACAATGACTCTAAGCTATACATGCAGCTGTATTATGATTATCAAAATGGACTGCTTTTTACAGCAGCCGCGAGCTTCACCCTGCTTCCATCTGTGTTACCCTTTGATTTTACTGTGCAAACTCTGGCTCCAAAAACACACACCAGCGCCCAGAAATCCCACCTCCCCAGCTTCAAACAGGCCAGCAGTAAGTCAACAGGTGATATCATTGTCACATTATTTTCTGCAGTCCATGGGCAGCGCTAATGTGGCTTTGTCAGAGTAATAACAACCCTGGTAAATGAATGAATTCAATTACTGTGCTACAGATTTTGAGCACTACAATGGTGATACCGCTGGGCTTTATGAATATGGCCCACAGCGTACTTCCATTTGGTGAATGCTTTAATGCTCTTGGACATCAGAGGCGTATAACTGCATAAAAACATAATACACTTCTACATGGTTCCTCCAGCTCCATAAACCACTGTCGTCCTTCCCCTAAGCAAACATTTAGAAACAGCCTCTGAACTGCCAGCCTCACCCACACTACCTAGAATCGGGAATTTTTCATGGAGCAAAGTAAAACGGAAATTCACAATGACATTCAGGCTAATCCACACCCACCTTACCTCATTCTACTCTGGCTGTCTAAGAAAAGCCTAGTACATTAAATTTGCTGAAGTGAGAGGAGGCAGGATGAAAAAAATGTAATACCTCGGGTTCGGTCCTTATTGGTGCATTGTGTACAGCATCCAGCCACATAATGCTGCAGTCAAATGTGCGAGGTAAGGTCTAACAAAAATAGTGAATTTAACACATACTGTAGTTTATACAGTCTATTTACTAAGAGGTGTGTTAATTACAACCATACTCAAAAACTCTAGTTTAGCTCCTGGTTTATTAAGACCATTTATGCAAATCGAGTCAATTGCGATTTTCCAATTACAATACCTGAGGCGCAACCATAGTCTCATATGGCACAGCAGAGCTCTCAAAACAACAGACAATGCAGACGACGGAGAAACTGCCGCTGTGCCAGAGGCCAGGAGATCAGGTGCTGCCAGATGTTTTAAATGCAGGTATGGCTTGATCCAAGATTTCAGCTTGTTTTGTTTCTTTCATCAAGCTGTGATAATGTAATGTGTCTTGGCAATCTATTAGTTCTTTTAATCTCATCATCTGACATTTGAAACAAATACACTCTGGATAATTATGCACATTTTCATTTAATAAATCAACGGGGGTGATCCAATTCAATAATCTCCATTTTTTCACGCTGCCACTGTCACTTAACAAAACGCATGTTATTTTGGCCTGAATTTGCTAAAAGCCTCATGCCAGTTATCTGACTCATTTACACTAACAGCAGGTTAGCAGCTCAGAATGTTTTTGTTTTTTTCTTGAGCATCCACCTTCACTGAAACCCCCTCAATCATTCTGTGAATAGGTTTGCACTAACCTGTACCAGTCCGGTGAGGTGCTCCAGCACGCCCACCATAGGAAGCTGCAGAAGGTGGTTGTTTCTCAGATTGAGGCGAGCCAGATTAACTCCAGAAAACACACCGAGAGGGAGGCTCCGCAGCAGGTTGGCATTGAGGAACAACAGCTGGAGGGACGGCATGGAGTCGAAGGTCCCAGGATCTATCTCACGGATCTCGTTGTACTCAAAATAAAGGTACCTAAAAAGGGGAAAGAACAATGTTACAGTGTCTCTGTATACATGCAAAGAAACTGAAGATGGACTATGGAAATAAAAGGGTAAATGGTTATGTAAAGGAAACTATCACTGTACCTCAGTACTTAGTGATATCTGACAGTAAAGATACATGAAATATAATAACATTACAAAAAGCTAATAAGGTCCTCTGTTGGTATAAATAATTATTTTCAATTATTTTACAAATAATTTATTAATACAAATTATTTTGTACGTAATTAAGTATTAATTACACATTAATATGTATATAATGAAGATTTCATTTAATCTGCACTTTTACAGTTCATTAGCTGAAAGGAAACCAAATGATTTTGTGTAATTTTGGCTACTTGCCTTAGTAGGCCTGATCATCATGTCAAATTTAAGACACTTTGAATTTTTAAGGTTTTTATTTCAATAATAGAAATCAGTTTGAATATAGGGAAGGATTAAGTATGACTGGATACTTTTCTTTGCATGCTAGTTATCCAATATACTTTCACGGCTGAAATAAGTAATAGATGTGGTTTAAATGTACTGCTCACTCGCCCCAGAGTCACTAACAAAGGCTAACGAGAGGTTAAGAGGCAGACTTTTTGGATGTCCTGAGAGGATCTTTATTATTGATTAATAGTCAAATTAATGGGTCTGTACATTTTCTGAACCTTTTTTTGAAATATGGAGATTGTGGAGCTGAAAACTAAAGGCTGTTCTGAATACACAAACCTTCTCGCTCCTCTTTTTACAGCAGAGGATGAAAGTTGACCTGTTGTCTTAATCAAACACCACCGTGTTTAACTCACTGAATAAATACAATTACTAGACTCTAGATATTAGCTGTATACATTATTTGCTGAGGAATTATCTTTATAAGCTTAATCTGACAATGATACATATGCATCATTCTGATGACTCGTTTTTATAATAAACCTTTTTTCCAAAAAAGCTAAATTCCTGGCATCATCCGGACGTCTCACCGCCTTATCAACACCTCTGTGTGCAAATACAAAAAAACATTAATTTTCACGTTGTCAATCATACCAGGCTCACACCTCAACTGAAGCATGCCATGAGGCAGCGTGACTAACAAATGACACTCCTGGAAGAGAATGGGCACCTTTCATTTCAATAAAACTCCGGCATAATGGTAATCAGAATGTTCTGCTCTGTGCTATGCCAGTGTTACAGTGAAATTCATTTCCACAAACAAATGTCTAAATGCCTAAGCTGACATGTGGCTTCAGTTTATGGATTTGTTTTAAGTGCAGTGAGAGTGAACTGCTGCGGGTGATCCCAAAAACAAAACAACACTACCTTAGATTCTGCAGCCCCAGGAACATGTGAGGGCTGAGCCTCTCCAGGTTGTTCCCGTTCAGGTAAAGACTCCTCAGGGTTGTCAGGCTGGAGAAGGCCCCCTCCTGGAGGTAGGAGATGCGGTTGTTCCCAAGGTGAAGCAGGTCAAGGCTGGAGAAATTCCAGAAGTCTGTGCGATAGATCCTCTGGATTAAGTTTCCACTCAGGTACAGCTTGCGTCCATTGAGAGGCCGAGGTGTGAGCTGGGACACATTGAGGAAGGCGTTCTCCTTGCAGTTGACGGTCAGGCCCAGGTCTGTGATGTGAAGGTTGCAAGTGCAGCCCAGGGGACAAATGATAGGGATGGGGGGTCGAGTTTGGTAGCCAGCCACGGGGGGATTCTGGTTGGGCATCAGGCTGCGAGGTGTCGGGGATATTCTGGAGGGTCGAGGCCTTTTTGTGGGCCTCGGGTGCCTCTCCCTGTCTTTACGCTCGGCTGAAGAAGAGGATGACGAAGTCGAGGAGGTATGAGTGTTCTGGCGGGAGCCGTGGACCATGGAGGACGGTTTAGTTGGCCTGATTCGCCCAGGCTGGGAGTTGGGTTTAGAGTTTGGGGGCAAATGTTGGGGCTGTGATCCTGCTGATTGACCACCACCCTCTGCTTGTAACTCTTTATCCGGGAGGTCAGCACACAGTTCCTTGCGTGGGATTTCTCTCAGGTCCTTGCCGTGAAGGTGGAAGGGATATTCACAGGTAACGTCCCCGACTACAGCCGTGTAGGGGATCTGACCCAGCCACTGCTGTAGCTGCACTGCCTCACAGCCACAGTTCCAGGGATTCTCCTCCAGCTGTAGCTCCATCAGGGAGCGACCAACATACTCCAGGGTCCCAGCATATGCCAGGCTCTTCAGACGGTTTCCCCGCAGGTCCAGATGAGTCAGAGACACAGATCTGGAGCAGCGGGAGGAGGGGGATAGTTAGCTAGGTTAGATGAAAAGAAAATGTGCAAATAAAGGTGTACACATTCCGTTATTGAGAAATCAGCTTTTTATCTGAATTTGAATCTGCCTTTTATGATATGAAATGGTATGCCACAGAAACATTAATTCAACAGCAGTACAGACAGGCTAATTGTGTCTCACACTGATATTTCTACAGATCAGTCCCGGCATAATTCAAAAGCTTTGAAGTAAAAGAATCAGAATCTAACCTGAAGAGATGAGCAGGCAAGACAGGGATCAGGTTGTCGTTGAGGATGAGAACCCTGAGCTTGTAGAGGAACCTCAGAGCGCCGCTGTCGATTCGTTTGATCACGTTGTAGTCGGCCTGCGAGTAAAAAGAGAAATTGTAATGAACATAATTGCTGCAATTGAAAACTAGACTGAATGCAGCAGGCACTCTCCATTTGAAAACACACATGAGATCTTGAGAAGATTATTTCACTCAAGCCACCTGCCAGCCATTGACTATTTCTGTCACAGCACATCTATTGTAGTCTTGTGGGAAACAATCCCGTCAATCACGGATAATCAACATGGATTATATTCTCAAGCCTACCTGGAGGTATTCCAGAGCCTCTAAGCCAGCGAAGGTATCATTTCTGAAGACCTCCAGCTTGTTCTCGTGGAGGTACAGGCGTCTCAGTTTAGCCAAACCGTTGAAAGCTCCCACTCGGATGTCCTGGAGTGCATTGTTGCCAAGGTTTATCGACACTGCGTTGCCAAGGTGCTGAAACCCGTTGCTATAGAGACGCCTCAGTGAGTTCCTCTGGAGGTTGAGTTTGAAAGGGCGGACCCACGACTGTGACACCTGAGTGATTAATAAGAGGTCTGATTAGTTATCTTATTAATTACATGAATTTAACAGTTAGAAACACCCATAAGCCCCATTATAGGCAGGATTGTAGCCTTGGAGATACTGTATGTTAACGAGATAAATGACAGCACCATAAAGTGCAGTGCAGTTCCACGTGCACTGCCTGATAAATGAAGAGGGATGATACCTGGCTGACATTAGTGAACCCACGCCCATCGCAGTGCACATGCAGCACGCCTTCTTTGACCTCGCATGTGCACGGCTCGAAGCATGGCTCGTCCACTTCCTCCTCGGAGTTATCCACTAGAGGGGTGTGTGTGGAGGTGGGGGTAGGGGTGGGGGTGTGTGATGCCCGGGACAGACACACACACCCCAGGGCCACTGCCAGAGCGACCCACTGCATCCTCCTGCTTCTCCCTCTCAGCTCAGCAGCCTGGGGCTAAAGCCCGGCATTGGCCCTTCACCGCACTGCACGGGGAGCCACGGCACATACATTCACGCACAAAGACACACACACACACAGACACACACGCAGTTAAAAGAGGGCAAACAGCCAGGGACGCAACAGCAAAAGTCAGTTCAGGATGAATCAGACTGATGATACATCACAAGCATACGAAAGCAGTCAGAAAATAAAAGTTAAATCACACAGTGCCACGAGAAAAGAATTACATTACACTGGAATAATGATGTCCAACTGGAGGCCACAGTATGTGTTGTGATATGAGCAGAACCATGGTAAACACACGTAAGATGCAAGCAGCACAGGAAAACAAGGCTCACCAAAGCGGGAAATAATGATTCAAAAAGATGAATCCGAGTCTCTCAGCTGCTGAAACGTTGTTTTTGAATTACAGATTCAAATTCTGACATTGAAAATGCAAAACAATAGCAAACACGTGGGCTAGTTCACCTGTGAATCACATTTTATCATTTTTAGAGTGGCTTTTTGGACAAGTGGGGGGTGGGGGGGGCTCTTGATGAATATATTCATTTGTACTCTCAAATGCCCGGTGAAGCTGAAATGTCACGCATGTGTTGTTTTAATGTATGCAATATGAAAATGGGTGAATGCAAATCAGATTCATAATGCTTCTGCCTAATGAACTGCTCCATTTGATAAGATGAATGGCAATCAGAGAACAGAAAGACAAGGCACAAAATATGCCATATTATCAATCAGCAGAATGGGTTAGGTTATCAACAGCCATCGAGTCCTGTCATAATCATCATTGTGATAATGACAGTGGAGTGAAATCATCGTTGCAAATCCAAACTCTTCAAAATTTTCCTAAGGGCTGATGTTAAGGCAGTGCAGTGACAGGCAGGAGCATAAACTGATAGTGATAGTGATGGTGGTGGTGGTGGTGATGGTGGTGATGATGATGATGATGATGATGATGATGATGATGATGATGATGATGATGATGATGATGATGACAATGGCACTGCAATAAAAACAGAACAAGAGTTGCAGTAGTCTTGGAAACAAAAACAAAGAAAGACAGTTGAGATGTGAGTCTTGCATGGGGATATTTCCTCTCAAGTCTTAATGAGATCTAAATTGGATAAAGCATCTTGATCTACTCATACAGTGTTGAACACTGCCATGCGAAATGCAATAATGATCATCATGGTATGGTAGCTGTAATCATACAGCAATAATCTAGCATCTGGGAGTTGGACAAGGAGGCAGCAGTGAAAACATCACCGCCCGAGAGAGGAAGAGCAATCACAGAGATGATTATGACGGGGGAAAGATGAAGGGAGAGGTGGAAATGAGAAGAAGAGGAGGAGGAGGAAAAATGGGAACAGAGCGAAGGGATGGAGTAAAGGAGAGACAGACAGATAAAGGAAGAGTAATGGGCAGAGAGTAGGTACAAAGGATGAGGAAACGGGTGAGGTGGGAGAGAGGAGTGGGATTGCATAAGCAGTGAGAAGTCAGTCAAGGCTGCCACTCAGGATGAGAGCTCACAGTGAAACAGCTGAAATCTGATATTGATTACATCAAAGCCCTCCTCTCACCCTGCACACAATGTACGCCCGCCTCACAGAGAAGCAGTGCTGGAGCCAAGTTGCATGCGTGTGTGTATTGCAAAACAATGTGAGGAAAGTCAAGGCATTTCAAAAAAGTGTGCTTTTATAGCCTGCCAAGTACAGAAACAGGTAGCAAGACACGTGTAGATGAGTGTGTGCTTTCATAACAAACCATGTGCAATGCTGCAATACTTGTTGGACAGTCCTACAATGAAACCATGAGAGGAAGTGAAAAACACCTTCTCCCCCCATAAGATTAGGAAAATGTATCACAGTGCTTGGAGCAAGGAACAGGACAATCTAGGCCAAAATGCGCAATAGTTTTTGAAAAACTGGAATACAATACAGAATACAACCCATTCACAGTCCCAGTAGGTCCTGGTTTCGTCAAAGAAAATGCATTGTTTATTGCAGGGCCTGAAGCCCCCTGTATAGAGGAGATCAATACTGAGTCCAGATAGACCACTGAGATCCCTCCTGTTAGATTCTGCTTTGGTGGATGGCCATCTCTCCTTAATCAGAAGAAACATAGTCAACACTCAAGCCTCTTTCTCCAATCAGCCGGAGTGGACTAGTCAGCAGTCGGCATAGCTCTGCATCATTATGGTAACAAGAAAGGAAAGGACTTAAGTGTTGACTGGTGACAGCACAGCAGAATTTAAAACTCTATCCGTCTGTCTGTCTTCATGTCCATCTGAACACGGGCCTGGCACAGGTGTGGCTTCCCTCCATGACTTTTCCCCCCCTCCTCCTCTCTCCTCTAGACCTGCACACTGACGCAAGCGAACCAGAGATGACGGTCACTGCTTATTCTTCACCATATTATTCATGTCACATAATTCCAGTGTCTACCTCTCCGTCCTCTCTGTCCGTCAGAACACACAGAGCCGCACCGAAGCTTCACACTGGCTTTTACATGGGCCCCTGCTCCCAGCACAGACCCGCACTATATCAGGCAAGCAGCAGCAGCATCACTGATCAAATGTATGGGGCTGTGAAACCTGGATAGCCCACAGCCCTCCAAGAAAATCAATTAGCCCTTAACATTACAGCACACAAATTTTAATAGTTAGTAGAATTAAAGCATGACCAATTAAACAGCCTAGTCATTAACAGACCCTATTAAGACACCAGGCTATGTATGAAAATCCTTGGCAGAGTAACGCAATCCAATTGCTTTCCCCATTGTCTGTCTCTCCCCACCAGCCTCTCTGATCCACACAGCGACGCTTAGCAGAGCAGGGATGCGGGTAATACTCACTCAGTCCGCCGCCAAAGAATTAGGGAACGACCGAGAAAACACTTTAGAGGCTGACTGTCGACATGTCGTTCACGTTCAGCCGCACTCTTCTCCCTCTCTCTCCTCTCCTGTAGCGGCTGAGGCGGATGGGGAGGGGGGGGGGACCAAAGCAAGGGGGGGGACGTGCTAAGACTGCAATGAGGTGGAGGATAAAAACCGGGAGAGAGAGAGAGAACGAGAGAGAGAGAGAGAGAGAGAGAGAAAACGATTGGCTTTAGGATGCAGGTCCGCTTCTCCACAGCGCAGCCCGTGGGAGCTGCGGCACTGGACCGCTGGACAGGCGTGCAATTCGCGGAGTTGTTGCCTTCGTAGTGATGGAGAATGCTCTGTTCATCTCAAACACAACTGGGTAATTCATAGAGGAGAAGGGGTGCGAAGGCGCCGGAATTAATCATGCAATGAGGCAGCTCGCAACTGCTAGTTTGATTATGAAGCATAAAGCGCGCAGGGTGGGTTCCTCCTCACCAGAGGAGCCACTTCAGCTCCTCATCATAAACACATTACAGAAGACACAACAGAGTCACAGACAATGGGCCCCATAAACTTTCTCCTCACGTTGCCCGCGTGTGCAGTCTGGTAAAAATACCCCGACTGTTCAGCTATACCGACAATAATTTATAATCTCATTAGTTTATTCATCTCTCCTCTTGCCCTTAAGCACCGACGGATTTCGTGAAACCGGTGTGTGTTACCATGGCGACTCGTGCCAGCTGGCTTCGGCGCGCACAGACGCGCGCGCGCGCGAGCACGCTCAAAGCATCAGTCGGGAAAACTGTGGTGACTGTTATGAGGGGAACAGTGGAGATTACAGGGAGGCCTCGAAGTCTGCATGGCCTACATCAACACACCTGTCTTGCCAAATGGAGGTGGTGGGCGCAACAGATGCGGTGGAGATTAAGAGCACCGACGTCCCCACCCACCCACCTCCACTGAATTTAGCCTCCTACAGAGGCTAATGAAAGTCTGTAGGTGCCAATGCTGCCTCTAAGTGGCAGGCATAGGCCCCTTGTAAAGCTTGGGGTCCCCAGTGGACCAATAGCATGGTCTCCATCAAGGACACCATGTTGCCACAGTGTTGAAAACAAGCATTCAAAAGCATTCAAATATCAGTCAGCTGGTTGCATGGCTATAGGAAAAGATTTAATAACAACATGTCTTCCACATTACTGAGCTGAAAGTTCAATTTTCAGTTCAATTTCACATTGATTTTAGCGTGCATTAAGGTGAATCACCTTGAGGAAATGGAGAGGTGCATCTCTCCCTCACACGCACCCTCTCCTTCCACTCTCTCTCGCCATACCTCTCCCTACAGCAGTGGAGAGGTATGCTCTCCCTGGAGATTCCTATCAGAAACAGTAACAGACACGGTTCCAGTAATATCAGGAAGATGTAGATGATGGTTATAGATTTCAGGGCTCTCAGGTGCATTAGGCTGTATTACAGCCTCCCCACAAGGCTACTTAATGCTTGCGTGCAATGGAAACAGGCTGGCAGATGCAGGGCATATATACACAGCCACACGCGCACACACGCATTTGTGGAGACACGCACACATTCACACATCACACAAGTCACGTTTAAGTATGCAGGGCTGCAGCTTATATAGACCTATAAGGTTTTGGCACTGAAATATTATATTTCCAGCTCTGTGACAGGTGATGCCAGATCTGTGGCAGGGGTAATGTGATCCCAGACCTGAGGCTATATCGTCTACCTCAGAGTGTAATAATGTCCGTGATGGAGAATCTGGGCGAGAAACACTCGCTTTCCTTACCACGGTGTTGTTGTTGAACCGTGGAGGCTCCCTAAATTAAGAAAACAAACGGAGAGGAACTGAGAAAAGATGGTTATCAGGCACCATCAGATACCTACGTGTCTGTTCTCTAGGGGCAGGAGCTGCTCTGAGCACATGAAGCACTTTTTTGGAGCGTTGATGGGGGCTCTAAAGTAGGGGATCTATTTATACTGGCCTAGTGCTGTCTGTGGAGCTGTCCAGTGCTGAAATGGATGGGAATTCATGCTGTTTTACTTCAGCCACTTCTCCTTTCTTCCTCCTCCGCTTTCTCCTTCTCCAAAGCCTTTTCTTTTCTCCCATCTGAATAATTTCTGTCAGATCATACTAAGATTCCTTCTATTTCACTCCCCTTTCGTCTTTCCCTCCCTCCCTTCTCTCCCTCCCTCCCTCCCTCCCTTCTCTCCCTCCCTCCCTCCCTCCCTTCTCTCCCTCCCTTCTCTCCCTCCCTTCTCTCCCCCTTTCTTCGTTCTTTACTTTCTTATGTTGATTCTCCTGTGGGCTCTTGTCAATTCAGACTGGTTTACATGCCAATCCTTCTTTTATTTCTTCCCCTTTTGTTTTCCCAAGCCAGCTCACTCCATCTTCTCTTCCACTGTAGACACACTGCAGGAAGTGGTCATCCCATTTTTGTAGCTCCCTCCGATTATATTTTTGTTCACAAGATATCTGAGGGGGGACTGGCTTGCATGCACGAATGCACACACACTCAAGACTTGAGTACAAGCAGGCACACTGACAAGTGTAAGAACGGGGTTTACTCCTCTCCCCTGCCAATCCACGGGTCAGAAAATCTCCTTAAAGCTACAAGTTGTTCACATACTGTTGCTCAGTCCCTTAACATGTGTCTTAGCTTCTTTGGGGCCCGCACTGCCCCCAGTCTTTAGTTACAGAGCGGGATGAGGCAATCAGAGAGGCAGGCAAGGGCACCCTGCACTTTGTGGGAAAGAGTAGAAAGCAAGTGGAAGAGAGCAGGGAAAAGAGGGAGGGAAGGAGGAAAAGGAAAATAACAGGCCGGTTGTGGGAGAGAGTGTAAGCGAGGCAATGAGCAGTGGGAATTTGGGGGTTCGTGAGCACTGGCTGAGATTGTGGAAGGGGGGGGGCAACAGATAGAGGGGATAGATATGGGGGAGGAGGGGGGGTGATGGCCAGGAGGGCAGGTGGTTCTGTCATTAGCTCCAGATTAAAGCAGAGGGCAACTCCAGAGGACTCACCTCTGATTCACACAGTAGTACTGCAGGCAAGGACAAGCCTCCCGGGAGACATGAAAGACACACAAGAGCACACATGTTAGAGACACAGCAGTGATTCACAGGATTACCCAGAGGCATGACCATACACATAAACACACACAAGCATATAACACCCCCTCCTCATTAAACATAACTACACACAAGATACACCGTGACTCACAAGAACATGCCGACTCCCACACACATGCCACATTCAGAGAGTCATGCAGCACAGGCACGCACGCATACATGCATATACACATCGCTGAGCTAATTAATCGAATCTCCTGTTTTAATTAGGATTCAAATCAGCTGCTCTGGGAATCTTGCCCCGTTGGAATGTTAAGGTAAAGACTCTGTACCTCTTTGCTGATGCTGCCTCCAATGACTCTACAGCAAGCTGACAGACGGGGACAAATTCATAATACCTACAATGATTCAGCTGGCTGCATTCTACATTGCGTTTTCACACAGACACATTTTTCTGGGGAGGCCTGAGGTGCCCGATCTGAACCTCAATTTGCACTCAGTCACTGAGAATGTGGAAACGTGGAATTATGGCGGCTCACGTCGCAGCCACGCTAATACAATATGCCATACCATGAAAAGGCCATATGTGTTGGCATTAAAGGGGAGATTCACGGTTTGCAGAGGCCTGTCCAATTGATCACTAACACAAGCATGCCATTTCGCTCTGAAAGTTTTCATGTGGCGAGGCATGTAAAGGCACTTTCACACAATTCTAATAGGCTGCTTATCCTTGCTATTACCACAGCTTTGCAATTTCAGCCAAGCAATGGCTCCGTACTCACACCAGCGCAGCTACTGTACGCCTGGTGCAAGTGCATCATTCCTAGCGTTATCTCAAGGGCTCCATTAGTAATCAATATGATATGTTTGTGAGAATCAGCTTAGTACTTTCACTTTCTGCTTGGCTGCTTTAGAGCAAGTCAGAGGAATCAATATGCTAACATTTCTGTTTGATTCTCCTGAATCAGACTGAGGAAATATTTATTCAGTGACTAATAGAGCTATATTTTAAGCAATGAGTAAGTCTTAGAGTTTTCACTGTTTCATCTCATATCTTGAGAGATCTGCCATCAGCTAAAAGATGAGGATGAGACAGCTCAACTGTAGTGGAACCACACGCCGCCTTCATCTGTCCCGAATGTCTTAATATCAGCTCAGGTGAAGGCTGGACTTGATGAATTAAAAGGAGGAGAGGATGCCAAGTAAATCCATTAGGATACAGGAACTCAGGCGTGTGTCTGGCTCGCCGGTTGTCATGGCTGTGGTGTTTATCACCTCTTTCTGCCGACAGAAGCCCAGGGGCAGATCAGATTGGCTTCAGACAGAGAGAGAGTTGGTGAGTGAGGGGGAGGACATATTGGCACAGCAGAGGGGTGAAATGCCAACACGCTGCAGAGGGGAGGCTGAGGAAGGGCACTGGACAAATGTCAATGTGGTTTTTCATGATGAGATTTTGCTTTTAACCATTTGACTGTGATTTGAGGTTTGGCGTACAGTATGTTACAAATATTAGTTGGTCTAATCAACAGCAATCCCTCACTTCAAATCTATCTTTTGCTCATTCAGTTTATTCAGTATTTGCTTGGCTTTTATTACATTTTTGTCTGTTTTTAAATAAACTAAGATTGTCTTTTGTACACCTGTCTTACTCAGATGTCTCAGTGGACCATTTATAGATAAGATAAGAGCATTAAAACATTTACATATAATTCAAAGTCCTTTAAATTCTATCAAAAAACAGTAATTGGTAGCCTTTTAAAATGAGCCTAGAAGCATCTAAATCTCTGACCATCCTCAAAAATCAGGTGTTAAATTTGCTCAATGTCCCCCGTGGCCTATGCCTGCCACCTAGTGGCCCTTAAAATTAACATCCCTGTCAGGAGCCTTATAAAGGTGCGTGGGGGGGGGGGGGGTTCAATTTTCATAGAGAGTAGGGGCTGTCATGTGGCTAGCTGACAAGACAATTCACATCCAATTCAATTCTAGCCGGTTATACTGACGAAGGAGATGAAATAAAACGACTAATTATGACATTTACCGGCAATGACAAGTGGTCGGTTGAACATTGTCAATCTAGCAGTCACAATCATGGACAGATGGCTACAGCTGCTGGTTACCTCCAGGTGGTACTTGTCGCCGCCGGTGTCCCGTCCCTGCAGCTATTACAATGTAACCACTCCTGACTGATCGGCTCACACGTGTTAGCGCTTTAACCAAGCCTCAGAGCCAATCAGAGTACGGCATGATGAAGCGCCGAATCTTCTCAGCGAATCACAGCGCCCCTTGTTGGGGGAGACGCTCGTATTCACTAAAGTGCAGGCCAGTGTGCTGTCAGTAGGGAGCAAGGTATGAAAGACTGTTGTCACACTGGCTTCATTAAGTACTTGTTAAAGTTTCTGTTCGGGTTTGCTTTGAAACACGCCAGTAACTAAACCCGCTAAAGCTCATTTGAAATAATATGTGTTGCTGTTTGTTGACATTAAATTCTTCTTGTAGCCTGTAGCACCCATTTAACGTTGTGTTTATCTTTCTCTGCTTGTAACTGTTGTTACTGTAGTCATTTGTTCTTGGCTGTTTTTATGGTAGGTCTTGTTGGTCTGTGTCGCTGTGTTGAATCTTGCTGTGCTGATGAGAGGTTCAGGTTTTGGTTGGGGTGGTCTGGCTGGGTCGTATTTTAGCTGACATTTAGCTGAATAGGGCGAAACCACCAGACAGCATGTGTGAATAGCTGTATTGTGGGCGCTGGCTGGTGTGACTGACAGTTCACGTTCAAACCTATAGGCCTCTTCCATAGAGCGTAGTTTTGGTCCCATTGGTTTCTGAGCTTTCATTTTGCCATACCCGTCTGTCAGGAAGGGTCTTCACCATAGCTCTGTTCAGGCTGACACGATGCTTGCTGAGGACTAAATTGCCAGTGACAGCGAGCTGTCCTGTTGTTTACGGTCGCACCTTGCTGTCAGCCCGCAGTGCCAAAGTCTCATCATCTCTGCCGAGGATGCCGCAGACAAACAAATTCAGAAACGCCCCAGTGTGTGACTCCCCGGGCTCGGTCCAGGCAGGAGCCTCAGCAGAAGATGCAGACCCGGTATCCCGGGAGGAAAGCCGGGCTGCAGGGGACGCAGGAGGAGGAGGAGGAGAATTGGATAATGTTGGAGACAGCGAGATAATCAAGTCCCCCAGTGACCCCAAACAGTACAGGTAAAGGACACCTCTACTGCACAAGTTAAATCCATAATCAAACTTTCATACTAGATGTGGCCATTCTCCTGAGTGTTTCAATTATCCGTTGTACTGTTGCCTGTTACCCGATTTATCTCCTCTATTTTGTACTTTATTCTCATTGTCATTGTTATTAATATGATTTCATGTTGAATGATACACAGTACACTGAGAAAATGACCCAGATCCACTAACCCAGATCCAAAAACGATATGGAGCCTCTCTTCCAGCTGGATCAGTACAGTATTATTGTAGTTTGATGAGAGGATTTCATGCTATAAGCACACACCAGTGCCTCGGGCCTCTCTGGGGCATACGCAAATACATTTGCTGTGGAAAAGAATAGAACAAGAGAGTCTCAAAGGGTAGAAGATGTAGCCTGCAAAGAGGCATTTAATTTAACAAAGCAAAATAAGCAAAAACAGTGACTGCTGTAAAACTCCATGAAACAATACTTTTTCTCAAGGCTCTCTGTGCTGTATCACTTTTGACTTTACTCCCTGCAGGTACATTGTGCTGGACAACGGGCTGCGAGCTCTGCTCATCTCGGACTACAGCGGGCCAGCGGCGTCAGAAGACTCGGATGGAGAAGATGAAGAGGAGGAAGAGGACGACGATGAATCTGGGGAAGAAACAGATGAAGAGTACGAAGAAGACGATGACGATGAGAAGGGCAGTGATGAGGATGATGAAGATGATGACAATGAGGGGAAAAAGAAGAGAAATGCAGAGAAGCAGGTACAACTGGGAATGTTTTTAAATGCAAGGCTCCATTCTTTTCTTTTTTTTAGATTAGACATGGAAGAGGGGGAAAAACTTGAGTCATGATGAAACTAAAGACATTTGGGCTGAAATGAGATATACATTTTGTGCAAAATGGTTGTCAACACAAACTTGAAAATATTTATTGTACTGTTACATACACACTTTATAGCCACATGTCTAAAACGTTAAAGGATAAGGCTGGCAATATTCTAAATTATTCTTACTGTCAACAAATCCCATGAAAAAAATAAAACAATTAATTTGTTAGTCCGTGTCTCAATACTTTATGATTTCCCTGCTATGTCTGTAGTCCAAAGCCCATTCCAAATCATTCCTATGGAAGAATTAAACCTTAAAAAAACTAGTCACGAATATACATCATTGTTAAACAGATTTTGTGTGTGAGTATTTACAGCAGCAGGACAGCATATTTAGCTGATATCTTGTTTTTTTGTCAGTCTGCAGCAGCACTGTGTGTTGGAGCCGGCAGCTTCAGCGACCCCAGTGACCTCCCTGGCCTCGCTCACTTTCTGGAACACAGTGAGTATTCAACCATACAGGGTCAATCAAGTAATGGCTTTGAAAAAAGACCTCTCATCTTTGCCTGGTCAAGGGTTAATTCTCCCATAGATATCAAGTCAAGTCATGTCAATTTTATTTATGTAGCCCAAAATCATAAATTAAACATTTGCCTCAGAGTCTGTAAAACATACAACATCCTATATATCCTGACTTCTTTAGATTTGGAAAAGGAAAAACACAACAACCATATTTTATGGTTCTGTTTTGTCTACTTCTATGTCAGTTAATAATGTTGGACTTTCACAGAATACACCAAGCAACAAAGAACAAGCAGGAACTTGTTGCATTAACGTTTTTTTTTTTTTCTGGTCCAAGAAAGAAAGAGTTCCTCTCATCTCTTTGAAATACAATATACAGTATCTTCTGAATTGCGTTCCGGTCTATTGATCCTACTGCAGAAATTGTTATATCTGTCTCCTCTACTGATGTGATTGTTGAACATTGTTCTTAAATGGCTAATTTCAATGAAAAGAAAGCCTTGCTCATTCTTACAGACTGTCATCAAGACTGTCACCAGATATTATAAGAGCAATATTTAGAGATTTCTTTACAACTATATCTGGAAAAATCGCTATCAAATTATTTTGTGCCTCAGCAGGGAAATATAATACCACACTGAGTTTGGCCAGCTTTCCAGAAACCACAAATGCAAGGCACGTCACCAAACTAGTTGTTTGGATTTCTCCTTTTTAAATTCTTCTTCTGTTTTTTTCTCTTCTCTCTCCCCTACTGTTTTCCCATTGTGGCCCAGTGGTTTTCATGGGCAGCAAGAAGTACCCCTCAGAAAATGGCTTTGATGCTTTCCTCAAGAAGCACGGTGGGAGCGACAATGCCTCCACCGACTGCGAGAGGACCATCTTCCAGTTTGACGTCCAGAGGAAAAGCTTCAAAGAGGCTCTTGACAGGTGAGGAAGGAGCAGAGGTTCTCAAGAAGTGGACTTATTGAGGACCATCAGATGAATTTCACATAACCACAAACACAGGAATAAGAAAAGGGGAGAATAAACTCGAAAAAAAAATCCCACATGTTAAAATGTTATGACATACCAACTAAAAGATGATCTTTGGACACTGCGGCAAGACTTGCTCCGGTATTGTTGTATACAGAGAAAACACACTGTCCTGTCTTTAACGGTTACTGTGTTATGTTGATATCTGATTAAGCAAACATAGCTAAGGTTGTTTAGTCATTTATGCTAGCTAGGTCTAATGATAGTTTTGTAATTTGAGGTATGTATTTTTTTTTTTAAATCTTCCTAGTTCATTGTTACTAAATATGATTGTAAACAAGTGTCATGTGACCATCCCCTATATCAGCTCTTTAAGTCTTCACTCAATAAATTATTAAATTAACATTTTAATAATATGTTTATAATTTTTTTGTATTATCACAAGCTAACGTTAGCTTTGTCAGTTGGTTCAGTTAGCTACAACATGCAACAGTTCCACCTGGCAGTTACTGGATGTAAATATTTAGTTAATCTCTGTGTAATATTTAGTTTATGTGGTGCCACCTTTTTTAATATAGTGATGTGAAAATGTCCATTTAGTAACTAATCTAAGTTTGAACTTAAACTGCTGGTACAACCGGTGTTAGGCTGTATTTTGTGACTAGAATTATAGCTACAGTATTCTGCAACTGCAAATGTTTTTATCATACTTTATTGCACACATTATTTTGTTAAGTGTTAACAAACATAGTGCCCTCATTTGATAGCTGTGATTTTGTTGTACTAAAGTTTGTCACCCTGTCTAAGTAAGTCACTAAGAGGGAAGTATTTTTTTCCAATGCCTTTGATAAAGTATGATAAAAAATGTTAGTGGCAAAACAGCGGAAAAATCCTATTGATGTCTCAGAATCTGATGGGTCACAGGATATGGTGTAACATGGACTCCTGATGTGTGCTAACAGAGTCTGACAAACATTACAGGCTCAATGAGTCCCCGCCATTCTGGTGTTGTCTTTGTTTTGTATCAGTCTGCATCTGATTGTCTCTGTCTGACCTGTGTCCTTTCTATCTGACTGGTATGTGGCCCCTGATTATAGTTTCCCTGTCCTGTTAACCCCCATTAGGTGGGCTCAGTTCTTCATTTGTCCCCTGATGATCCGAGACGCCATTGATAGGGAGGTGGAGGCCGTTGACAGCGGTGAGGCTTCTGCGCATGACTCCTCCATGCTGAGAAGTTAACTTTTCATCAGCCGCATTGCTGAGTTCTCCTCATGCAGCTCTTTTGCACACCACCGTCTTGTCCTGTCGTCTCAGGTTTTTCTGCCTCTCCTTCTGTCTTTCAGAGTACCAGCTGG